CCGGAAGTTGTTGCGGCCGACCTTGATGAGCTGCGTGACCTTGGCGAGGAGCTGCGTGTTCACGCTGAGGCGGCAGTAGAGCGCGTCGCCGGGCTTCGCCGACAGCCGCTGGGCGAACTCCTCCTGGAACATGATGACCGCGGACCGGAAGTGGGGCCGGTGCGCGAGGAGCTTGAAGAGGAACGGCGACGAGATGTTGTACGGCAGGTTCGCGACGCAGACGTCGAAGTAGGGCAGCGCGACCTTGAGCACGTCGCCGTGGACCATCTCGAGGCGGTGCTTGCGCGGGTCGTTCTCCACGCGCTTGGCGACCTCGCGGACCATGCGCCGGTCGAACTCGACGCACGTGAGCTTCTTCGCCTGCGCGAGGAGCTTCACCGTGAGGTTGCCCGTGCCGGGGCCGATCTCGAGCACGCTGTCCGTCGGCTGGAGCTTCGCGCGCTCGACGATGGCGTCGACGATGGCCGGGTTCTTCAAAAAGTTCTGCCCGAGGTCCTTGTTCGCCGCGAGCAGGTGGCTCGACGCGCCCCGCTCCTCGCCGCCGCCACGCGCCTCGTCGCGCTTGCGCTTGGGCATGGCGTCTTTTTAATATACTGCGGCGCGGCGACGAGCGTGGGCGGCGGTGCGACGACGACCCGGGGCCGACGACCTGCGCGCTTCGGACAGGCCTGCTATCGCGTATCGACGATTTTGGCTTCGAGATGTTGATCTGCAATTTCCGTGCAACTCAGCGCGGGGCAGCGCATCTGGGCGCTGCGCGCCCACGATGGTGGTCGCGAAGCCCCAACTCGCGTTCCTCTTCGCCGTTTCTGCGTTCGCGGTGGAGCAGCCGCTCCTGCTGTGCAGCCCCGGCGGGCGCGACGGCTTCGGGTCCCAGTACTTCCACCACATGGCCGTCTTCGGCGCCTGCGCCGCCCACGGCGACTGCTGCTACGTGCACTCGTCGTTCCAGACGCTGGCCCACGGCGCGGACCCGCGCCGCGCCGAGGCGTTCACGGGCCTGCGGTCCGGCGACGCCTGCCGCCACCTGCTGTCGTCGCCGCGGCGCGACGAGACCCTGCCGCCGGACCCCGAGGGCGCGTCCATCGGCTGCAGCAACGGGCGGCTGCGGCGCGAGGGCGCGACGGCGGGCTGGCGGTTGTCGACCATCGAGTGGCCGCGGCCGGCGCCCAAGTACAGCCTCTGGACCTTCCTGCACAACGCGACGACGCGCGGGGCGCTCCGCCGGCTCTACGACGCCGCGCCGAAAGTCGGCTTCCCCGCGCCGCCGGACTGCGCCGTGCGCATCCACGCGCGCCGCGGGGACCACGTCGTCGCCGGCGGCGCCGCGGGCCACAAGGAGACGAACGCGACGCTGCTCTGCGTCGTCGACGCGGCGCTGCGGCGCGCGCCGGGCGCGACGGTCTGCGTCTACAGCGAGGGCCGGCCGGAGGACTTCGGGCCCGCGCTCGCGACGCACCCGCGCGTCCACTGGCGCCTCGGCGGCGACCCGTTGCACACCTTCCACGAGCTCGTCACGGCGCCGACGCTCTTCGTCGCGGCCAAGTCGACCTTCTCCGCCGCCGCGGCCGGT